ATTTTGAACTGAAATTTTGTCTATAGATAAGCCTTATAAACACTAGAAACTTTCGAAAGTTTGAGCCAGAATGAAGGTATCCTTATCGAGATATCAGTTGATTATGAAAATGTCCGTATTTTGAAACCCAACTAAAAACAGCCATTTCTGTAAAATGTGAATATCTCGATGAGAATGCGTTCGTTCTGGCTCAAACATTCAGGTACTCAGAAGAGTTTTATGCCCATAAACCAAAATCAATTAAAAGGCCTATAACTCGACAACAGAAGGCTTAAAAACCAAACCATTCTAGGGCATGTAATAACTCACTGAGATCTATCGTTTGCACACATGCCCGGTCCAAAAGCGGTTTGATACTTGGAAATGTAAAATAATGATTTGTGTCTGAAACACAAACAAGAAAATGACAGAAACATTATTTTTTTCATAATTTTTACCAATCAAATTCTTTATTCAAGAAAATAATTATGAAAATTGATAGAATTCAACATAGTATTAGTTGTTCATTCATTTTTCTTGCATCCAATTTATTTGACTCAGTTAGATAGATCTAAAAACTCGTTGAATTTCATAATGAATTTGATTGGAATACGAGTTACTATCTCGTTATATATCTTTACATCTAAGGATTTAGTTAATTTTAATATTTTTATTTCATTATCAATCCTTAAATTATAATTAGGATTTGGATCAACTTCTCAACATATCATTCAAGCACATGGCATTCATTATGATTGTGGTTGTATTATATCACAAAACGGTGATTTATTACAATTTATGAATAGAAGAAATGTAGGTCCATTGAATGTGCCAGCAGTTTATGTTGCTTATTTCTCGACATTTGGTGCTATGGTAAAATTTTTGTAAAATTTCTTATTTACTTTTGTAATATATTTTTTTATTATTAGGCATGGCATTTATTATTATTTAATGAATCTATTGATAATTTACATGGACCTATTTTATCACCAATAGCAATTGCTGATAATACACCAGCCTATCGACTTGCTGGTGAGAGTATTCGAGGTAAAGTTTGTTGTTTTGTTTGTGCTAGATTATTATCAACATTTCATTTTCTATCAATTCAATTAAATCAAAATGATACTTATATTCTATTGACTCGTTGTTTTGAACAAATGGCATTTCTTACAAAAAAACAAAATTCATGGATTAAACCAATATATACAACTATTGATAATGAATTTATAGCTGAACAAGAATTTAAAGATAATGTATTTTATTTTGTTCATAATAATCTAAATGAATATAAAATATATATTAATCAATTATATTTGCAATCACAAATACAAATGAATCTTCAACAATTTATTGATCAAATGCCTATTATTATTCAATTTATAGATTTTAAAACTGAATTATATCGACAAATAAATTTAGAAACATCTCTTAAAATTTTACAACAAACTCTAAATTCATTACCATTTTTAAAAATAACAAAATTAATCTATGATCTTAGTCAATTTTATCGTCTTCTACATCAAACTTATTCAAAATTAATTAAACAAAATGAATTTTTAACAATAACATTACAAGAATTATATGATCGAGGTCAAAAATATTATAATAATTCTAATTATCAACAAAATCAAAATGAAGATAAAACACATCGATCAATTATTGAAAATGGAATTGAAGCTGTCAAAATTTATCATCAATTTTCTAATGGTTTTATTCGACCGGGTGCTTGTGATGAAACTCAACATTTTTCAATCATTACATTTGACACACCAATTAGTTATTTAGTTACAAATGAAAATCATGACGAAGGCGATATTATTATGCGCATACTCAGGTTAATTCATTTTACCTTTAACTTCCGTATATGACATGACTGAGAGCAAGTATCTGAAATACTTATCCTAGTACAAAAAAAAATAATATCTAGTTCCAATCATTAGGTAATTGAAACGGATGAACGAAGTGCCTCACTACCAACGATAAAATTAATACTACCCCTATTTTTCATGGATATTTTCAATGATAGTAAACCATAAAAGACAAGAGTTTGTTAGAAAATTGTTTCATTTAAAGAACTTCGTGGAGCTGGTAAAGTTGATCATTTTGGTAAAAAAAAAACTTTTAAATATCCTCAAAGAATGATGATAGTACATTCAAAATCCTCAACAAGCGTCAATTACTGCTTGGCAGAAGTTAGAAATAGCCGGAAGATTTTGAACGTATTACTATCATTTTTTGAGGATATCTACAAGTTTCTATAAATGAAACAATTTTCTAACAAACTCTTGTCTTTTATGGTTTATTATCATTGAAAATATCCATGAAAAATAAATGTAGTATTAATTTTATCGTTGGTAGTCAGCTGATTCGATTCCGAACTTTCGAATTCATGCTTAACTTTATGACTTACATGAAATATAAAATAATTCAAAATTCCTATGCTTT